CTCAGAAGCTAGTCAAAAAGAGAATAAAGTACACAACAGTATGTGCATTTAGAAAGGATAAGCAAGCCATGCAGTGCTTGCCCAGAAATCTAAAAATCAATTAAAATGTTTTATCTGTTAAAACGAAAATTGTTTCCACCTTCTTTTAGTCATAGTCCTGGTTGCAGATTTAAAAACTGACATCATATTACTTTGTTTCTTTCACAGGTCGTCTAATGTGAGAGACACCGCTCTAAGACTACTAAATGCTGCCCTTGGTGTGTCCATCAGCATCTGTGTCCCCTGAGAAACAGCTTCCCCCAGGGAGGAAGGTTCCCCACCTGAGGGTCAGATTGAATCAGGGTGACAGTGGGACTTCTGCCCTGCAGTTAGAAACAGCAACAAGGTTAAATTGATTATATCGTCCTGAGAGTTTTGTTCTCTCAGAGCTTTAATGAAGCAGTCAAGTTCTCTTGTGAATAAAAAGAAAGAAACGTCACACTGTTCCAACTTAAGGAAGTTAAAGTGTTTTTCTTTTTAAAGAATCTGATCTGATCGTCAGCTAAATCTGAGGCATTGGGAGATAATAATAAATGTTTCTGCTGCACAAATATGTAATTTTCTCTTGTTAAGGACTAAGTTTAGTTATTACCTTTCTCTGTGCGTTTCTCAATAATCTTATCTCTGTATAGATCTTTAAAATAACTAAAATTTTAAAATAATTTCCTCCGTTGAGCGCTGTAACTTTCCATATCTAAATACTTTGGGTCACATCCAGAAGTTCAATAATCTGAGACTTGTTTCGGATAGTTACTGCTCAAGATTTTATTATTATTTTTTTTTCAAAGTGATCTGCATATATTTTTGTTCACGTTTGTTCACTACACATTTAATTCTTTCTTGGAGCCTTTTTTAAATTAATCTTAAGACCAAAGAGAGATGGAATTAACTATTTCATAAAACATAAAATAAGATGACTGATGAAATATGTCAATGTATTTATTGGTGTTAGAATAAAATAGTGTAATTGAGGTTACCACCCAAATCCTAAACAAAGTACTTTTAATGTTTTTAAAAACCTTTAATTAGAACATTTATTTAGGCTTGATTAAGAACCCATCATGCAGATTTAGGACAAAAAGAACATTTTAAATTAAGCTGTGAATTAAAATAATCCAGTAGACCAGAGTTCAGTTCAGTCCTTCACACCGAGATCAGCAGAAGAAAAAAACAGTCATACCAGAAGCAGAGAGACTTCACAGTTGTTCCTCATGGGAACTGAAACGACCTGAAAAGTTTCTTGTATTGTTGCTGTGAGGTGGAGGCACTCGCATACAGTGAAGGTAGGGCTGTTGGACAGGCTGTCTGTCTGCTGGGATCCAATGGACCTCTTTCCCGTTTTGATGTCGTACTAATTAAAATATCAGACGATAACTCCCCGTTAGCGCGTGATCATCGCCGCTCCCTGACATACTTCCTGAGCAGAACCTCTCTGAGGGGTGGTGTTTGAAACACAGCAGCGGACCACCCCCTCTTTCTCCTCGTCCTGATGTGTGTTTGTAAGTCCTGGTCCTGTACTCTTGGCTCAGTCTACAGGAAACTCAGTGAACCAGGTTACACTGGCTCTCCGACACTTTAACATTAAAGTATGTTTGAAACAACACTTTAACTCAAGGTGTTTAAAAATACTTTAGGTGCTTTTGTGAATGAACTTTTTGGTAGTTGCAAATGTTGCTTTTACAGCTTTTTGTTGCCATGTCCTCCTAACTTGTTTGAGATGTGTTGCTGCCATCAAAGTCAAAATGAACTAATATTTTTCTTTAAAAGGCTCATTTTCTTAGTTTAAACATTTAAAATGTTTCATGGATTCTATTGTGAATAAAATGTGGGTTTATGAGATTATTGGAAATTGGCCGGCATTTGTATACGCTGCACTAAGATGGCCTGTATTTGTATAGCGCTTTACTCAGTCCCTAAGGACCCCAAAGCGCTTTACGCTACATTCAGTCATTCACACACATTGGCGATGGCAAGCGATGTTGTAGCCACAGCCACCCTGGGGCGCACTGACAGAGGCGAGGCTGCCGGACACTGGCGCCACCGGGCCCTCTGGCCACCACCAGTAGGCAAACACGGGGTTAGTATCTTGCCCAAGGATATTTGGCATGCAGCCAGGAGGCAGCCTGGGATCGAACCACCGACCTTCTGATTTGTGGCTGACCTGCTCTGCAACCTGAGCTACAGCCAGCCAAATTGGTTTTGGTTTTTTTAATTCACATTTTACACAGTGTCCCAACTTTATTGATTACTTTAGATCAATTCATCTCTAAACATGTGATTCTGAGACGATGCAAATGCACGACGAAGTTGACATTCTGCTTCAAACTCAATTCAAATGATCTAAAGAGGAATGAAGAATGTGTGGCCCCTTGGTGTGATCCAACCTGACTTTCAGTTGTTCTAAAGAGTTTATTCAAACTAGCTCTTTCCTCAGGCCCCCTGCACATGTTTGGGTTTAGTATTCCTGATCTCCATTTAAACAGCTAATACATTAAAAATTTGCTCTGCTTCCAGCAGAGCAAATTTTCCCCGTCTGTCACTTTTCTGCCATTTGTCACCTCAAACGTTGAGTTCAGCGGGCTCCAGAGGTGAATTTTACATGACACTAAAGACTCTGTGTGTGTTTTGTGGTAAACATATATTTAACAGGACATGTTGAGTGCCTGAGTGTGTCCTCTCTTTCCATCTTCGTTCCTCCCCCACTCTTTGCAGTCCCTTATCCCACCCCCTTTGTATCTGTGTCATTGCTCTGGAGAGTGAGAGGGTTTCTCTTTGTAGCGAGTCCAACTTGGCAGCAATGCAGTCACTGCTGGGAAAGTGTGTGTTTAAGTGTGGGCTTAAATGAAATGTGTGCGCTGTCACAGGTGGAACTAGGACAGCATGCTGGGAGGACTCGGAGATGGAGAAGAAAAGTTTGTGGAGTATTCATATGGGAGATCGAGAACAGAAACAGGACGCTGACACCTTTTAATTCATTCTTTTTGTACTGATGTTTTGTTTTCTTTCGGTGTTCCAGCCTTTAGTCGTATTATTATTTAATGAACAGGAGGCTCAAACTTGGAAGAAAGTTCCTATGATGTTGATAGAAAAATAAACCCATGAAAAGGCGGCTCTTTCAGGTCTTTAATCCTGTTACAGTTTGAGGATCGCGCTGTGGATTAACATCTGTCATGTGTGTGAAAGGATAACATGGGATTAAGTTGCTGTTTGACATTTCGCGGTGTCACATCAGACATCAGACATCAGAGCAGAGGCCGATTCATCACATGAAACAAGTCAGGGCTTATTATCAATACTTTAATGTGCCTGCCGATGGGTAACGATACTCCACCCATCTGCAAACGGCAGGTTTGCAATCCTAAAGTCATCCTGCAAACGGCAGTAGCTGTATTTACTGATCTTTAGCAAGTTTCAGAGGAACGACTATGGTTAAGAAGAAAAACTGGACAGTTTTACAGATGATTTAAACCATTTGAGAAGGTAATTACCACACAGTTCTAGTGTTCTCTTGAATACTAAGGGCTTCGATTTTGGCACGCTCTAAAGAGAGAAATGGTTTAACCTTCCATAACCAAATTTCCACGACCAAAGAACAAACAGAATCAGAACGAACTTGTAATATTTGAACCTCAAAACTGCAAACCAGTTACTTACTCAACAAATATCCAGATCACCATGAACAATATACCCAAGCACTTGGACTCATAGTCCATCAAACACCATTGAAACACTACTAACCATTATAGGCCTGGGGTTCTCAGATAATTCTTTAATATACCATCAAGGTGCACCTTTTGATTTGCCTTTGACTCTCTGGACTACCATTGAGCCAAAACAATTTTCCCCTTTCAGATCTTCACACCTGCAAATGTCTCAAACTGACTGTAAAGATAAAGTTTGTCAGTTTGTTTAGTTTTTGAAGTTCCTGATCTCATACACAGTATATTCTGCTATATTTCATGCATTTAAACATGAAAGTAGTCCTTAACAAATTTGCCTGAACTCTGTAGAGGTTTAAGAATTACAAATAAAAAGCGCAGAAACATTTTGCTTCATTGAAAACCTCCTGGATATTATTCCATGGAGGTTAGTGTTCTGTTATTGACATATGGCCACTCCGTCACATCCTTCCTTTGTAGACTGTGACATTTTAAAGCAAAGGCTTTAACTACGAGAAGAGCCAATATTGTGGATGGATACTATCAGGTTTTCGTCCCCAGTGGAAATACTTTTACTTCACAGATTCTAACAGTCACAGGAGACATTGTGTTTGTATGTAATTTTCTGGGAAACGCTGAGATAAGCAGCCTCGAGTGCAGCTGCTGGTCACTGTGGCACGAGTCGAAGCGGTTAAAGCCGGCGATCCTGTTGTGTCGCTGCATGCCGGAGCTTATCTTTGTTTCTGGATTACATTTTTTATCCTCTGAGGGAATTCACAGCTCCTCAGCTGGCCTCAGATTTGTCATTTGAATCTGGTTTTCTATGAGAGAAGCTGCTGCTTCATCAGGAATTAAACTTAATCTGTCGTTTGAGAGCGGGACAAACTCTGACCGCTGCCTCCTGTTCAATGAACCTGTCACTTTTCTATTGGTGGAAAACACTAACCCAGCTGTCCTCTCTGTGATGCTAAGCTAAGCTACCCACTCCTTTCAAAGCAAATGACAGAGGAGTCAACAGCTGAAGGAGGGAGACAGCTTTTACCCGATTCCAGTGACTGTCAAGGAAAAAGCTTTCTGTGCACACCAGCAGTTTCTTTGATAGAGACTTTAAAGCTTGCATGCTAAATAAAACTAAAACTGTGTAATCTGTGACAAATAAATACTCTAAAAAAAGTAAGCTGGGAAGGACTGGCCACCAGGACTCATAACTGAAAAGGTGAGAGCAGGTCA